CAAGGACCCAAGTTCAATCCCCAGTATGAAAAAAAAAAAAAAAAAAAAAGAAATTCTAGGCTTCAGTGTAAAAAAAAAAAAGTTAAACTTTTTTAAAAAAATGGTATTTCTTAGAACCATGGGTTTTAGGTTGATAACAGTTCTGTAAACAGTTCTAAAGAGGTAAGTGCCATTATCACTATCATACTTCTTCCCATGGGGAGATCTGATAGGGTTTTTGACCTCGGAGGGAGAGCCAGTGGTCTTAGGTGTCTGCTCTTCCCCAGTATTGGACAGTGGGAACAGAATAGATGGGAGATTATCCCAACACTAACTGCCCCTGATCTCCATTCATGAAGGTTCCCATGGCCATGCTGTGCTGAGGCACAGTTGACTCCAGGGATATTGGGATATTTGGTGGTTTTCACTTTTTATGATGGAGAATTTGGCGACTAAGTAAAAATAGGCGAAAGTATGAAGAACTATATTCCATTTTCCTAAACTCAACAGATTTCAGTAATTTACTTCACCTTTTATTTATGAATTAAATTTCAGATATAACACTTCCCTCTTGCGTGTGGTGGCACATGTCTGTAATTCCAGCACTTGGGAGGCTGAGGCAGGAGGATCACTGTGAGTTTGATGCCAGCCTGGGCTACATAGTGTGTTCAAGGCCAGCCTGAACTACATAGTGAAACCCTGTCTCAAAAAACAAAATACATAATACTTAACCCATATATGTTTCAGTATGTATCTCCAAAAATTGTGTGTGTGCATGCACATGTGTGTGCAAATGTGCATGCTGAGGACCTTAGGGCCTCCTATATACTGAGCAAGGCCTCTACCCTTTTCTGTTCTTAACATAACTACAGTACCATTGTCATACTTCTTTTAGTCAAGGTCCAGTCAGAAATATAAAGCACAGAAAGCTTAATAGAAAAACACTTCACAACAGAGAATCGGCACCTTGTACATGAATAACACTCTTAAGAATACATGTATGTAAATGGCCCCACATTGTGAGATTCCATCTCATTCCAGAGAGAAGGGCTGCTGTCAGGAGATTAACCAGTAACCACTGCTGGAGGGGCTGTGGAGAGAAGGGAACCCTTCTCCACTGTTGGTGGAAGTGCAGACTGGTGCAACCACTGTGGAAATCCATATGGAGATACCTAAAAGAACTAGGATTAGAGGTCCCATTTGACCCAGCTATTATACCACAGTGACATGCACACCCATGTTTATAGTGGCGTAGTTTGTAACAGCTAAATCTTGGAAACAGCTCAATTGCCCATCAACTGATGAATGGGTAAAGACGTGGTTTTTCTGTGCAATGGAGTACTACTCTGTCATAAAGAAGGTTGAGTTTGAGACATTTACAGCTAAGTGGATGCACCTTGAAGCTATACTCCTAAGTGAAATAAATTGGACACTCATAAATATTGCCTCATCTCTCTGGTATAAGAAACTGAAAATGTAAATAGGGACCAAAATATATAACAACATAAAGTAAAAAACCATTCACTGGAAGGGTGAATGGAGGTGGGAAGGAAGGAAAAAAAATGAGAAAAGGAAAATATGGAAATGGGGCTTTAATAAATAAGGGGGGAAGGCAATGGGAAAGCAAGGAATCAAAATACATCACGTGGGGCTGGGGATTTAGCTCAGTGGTCCCGCCACCTGCCTCACAAGCGCAAGGTCCCGAGTTTGATCCGCAGTACCAAAAAAAAAAAGTTCAAATTCCCTACAATGGATGTGACCATTATGTAAATCTAAATTGTACTAATAAAATCAAAAATGGAAATAGCAGTGGCTACCTCAGTGGCTGACGGAGAGGAGTCTGAAGAAACAGATTGCAAAGAGTTGCTTGCTCCCAGCTGAGATCCGGGTGTCCCTGGAGAGGGCGTGGCTCTGAGGCGCTGTGCGCGCAGGCTCCCCTGCAGGTCCGCGGAGGTACAGCGCCTGGGTCTCCCTTGGAAACTGCCTATGGGGGAGTGTGGTGTGGGAGCTCCTCCTTGTACTGCCGGTGACTGGCCTGCCCCGCAGCATACGCCAGCAGGTGGCCTCCCAAACACACCACACCCAGGAATAGGAGACTGCTCTTTTCCAGATTCCTCTCTGAAAACGCTTAGCATTGCTCCACTTGGCTGGGGAAAACGTCCCATTGGTCAAAGCAAGACAATGAAGGGTGGATTTGGATTTAAGAGAAAATAGTCAGTGGCCAGCACAGTCCACCTTTTTGGCTGCCCAGCTTCTACATGCATCCTTCTACACACATTTAAACCGAACAACTGGAAGATTATGTTTCCACGTAGCAGCTTACAGCCAACTTTCCTAGGAGTAAAAAAGCAAAAAAACTGGTCCTTTCCCCAAAATGAAGAAAGCCATGGACTCAGCAGTCACTGTACCCATTGAGAGCTACAGTTGATTAATTATCCACAAAACTGAATTACACCAAATTGTAAAGTTTATCTGCAGCAAGTTGTATATAAAACAACATCGGGAAAGAGAAAGTGGGTTACACACACACATAGGCAGTTACATATCACAACAAAAAAATTTGGAAAACTACTTACTGCAGACCCTGTCTTTGTAATTATCTGTGTCTTCCATGAAGCTGTAGCTGATAGCTATTGATCTGTTTCCCTTGCCCTCAGCCAATAACCTCAGCTTGGAATTCTTTACCCAGTGCATAACTCAAATTGTCATTCCTGAAAGAATCTGAGTCCATGATCATCCAACTTTTTATTTTTGCTCTTACTTTCCATTGTTCACATGAGTGTGTACAGAGAGACCCAGATAATCCCCTGGGATCCAGACACAGTCCTTGCTGATATCATTCTCCGACTGTAGCAGCAATCCAGTTCCCCTTGTCAACCAAGATCGGTTATCCCAATCTGTAAGCGTTTTTTTCTGTCTATTGGTCCCTTTGCCGCAGGGGGTCCCAAATGGCATCTCTCCTCCCAACGCAGTGGAACCAGCATTGTAGTCTTGACCCATCCCTTGAGCACTAGCATCTCTAGCCAGCAGAGTTTAAAACTGCTAGCATGGGAAACAAATTTTCTAGAGGTTTTGTATATGCAGTGGGATAAGCCACTCCCACTGTCAGCATTTGATCCGCAGACCCATAGATTCTGATTGTTGTGGGAGGTGTGGCCATCTGCTTCTTACGGTGGCGTTAGATCCACTGCACATACTCCATCTTTTAAGACATGGTATGCTGCAGTTGGTGCTGTCCCTATCTTCATTAAGCCATCCCAGTTCCAGTTCTCCAGGCACTCCTGCATGGTG